TCTAAAACAGTCTCAAAAATGTTACCATCATATAAAAGCACATGTATGCATGCCAGTAAAAGAGGAATGTCCAGTAAGGATAGCTTCAAAAGTTTGTCTGCACTGACTCTTATCATTTTGCTTACCCGATGATGCTGATTACCAGTATCAAGGGCTACTGTTATTCGGGCAAAATCAGTACCAAATAGCAACGAGGACATTCTTCACCAATCTCCATGCCATAATAAAATGCCCCCATCATCCTTTATTGTGTCAGTCTGATGAATCACAGTGCTAGCAACAATTTCTGATGCTAATCTTTCTCCTGTTATCCTTCTGGTCATATGAAGGAACTAGATTATCTATAGTTACAACAAAGGAAATTTCCTAGACAACCATTTCTCAACTTAAATGCATTCCGTATGTTCTATAATGCATCAAATTTTCCTTATAGAATCCATGTATGCTCCTGAAATGACCAATCTCAGCTTTTTAAGAAAACTGTTTTCACCATCACCATTTGAAGACACGATAGGCAAGACCTTTGCAATGAGAACAAAATTCTCTCCATTCCCAGAATCAATTTCATATAACTCACGGAAAACCTCCTTAAACTGATGTATTAGTTTCTCATAGAACAACCTGCTTGGAGGGATGACATTAATGACAAAAATCCCAGAATCACCAAGAACTGACTTTGCAGCCAGAAGAACACTCTTCCTAACAAATTCCAATGGTGGAGCACTAACACCGTTACACATGTCACTTGAATCTAAATCGACCATTATCACATCAAATTTAGGATCAGCATCATCATTACCAGCTTCTAAGCAACAATCATTCATTTCCTTGTGATTATTGGCTTCATTAGCAAGTTCCTTCATAAATTCTATGGCATCTCCAACAAAAAGCTGAATACAGTCTCCAACCTCCAATCCAAAATACCTTGTTGCTATCCTCAATACCTCCTCATCCATCTCAACTCCTACAACCTGGAAACCCAATTGGCTTCTCAAGAAACCAAGCAATGCCCCACCTCCAACCCCAACACACAGTGCTTTAGGCCTAAAACCAGCTTCAATCCTTTCTTCAATACGAGAAGCTATCAAAGCAAGACTTGCCACCATCGGCACCAAGTAAACATGCACCAGAGCCAGAAAATCAGGTTGAAACTCCACATCTCCCCCAATTTCTGTTTTGTCCGAATCAAAGCCTGTTTTGGGTACAATTCGAATCTCTGTTTGAACCAGATTCGGCAACCTCTTAAACCTCAATCTCCTCCTAAATTCCCTTTTCCCTTCACCATCACTCTCAATTTCAACATCCTCAACAAGCATCTCACCAACAACAGGACCAACGCATTTCTCTAACACAACGCTACAAACAACATTATCCTCGTAACTCAAAATGGGTACATTAAAACTTCCATTAATAAAGCAACTTTTAGGAGCTAAAGCGGTTACCAGCGGTATCAGGCTCTCCTCAAGCCTCTTTTGAGAGTCAGTTTCCAACGGACGTCGGTAGATAGTGGTTGAAAAGGGGCCACCGACGGGATGTTCTCCGATCAGTATGAGGCGTTGGATGTTGGGTGAGGCGAGAAGGAGCTGGAGCTGACCGGCCTCAGTGGAGAAGATCCAATCGGACTCGCGGTGCTTGGGAACGAACATGCCGGCAACTACAGGAGGTGAATCGCCGGTGTCGGGCTGAATTGGTGAGTCGAGGACTGCGACCCGAAGCGTCGGAGGGGTGGAGGATGGGCTGGGGCTCGGGATGGTGAAGGAGAGGAAGCGGGCGGGATGGATCCCTTCGAAGGTGGATTCGTCTAAGCCGGCCATGGTTGGGAGTTTGAACCAGGGGGAGCAAGCTGGAAAAGTGCAATTTTCTTCTCTCTCTTTTCCATTGCCTGGTGAAGGCCCAACTCTAAACTTAATGGGCCATTCCCATTTGGAAGATCCAATTTGCAAACCGCCTCTCGATTTCAAACTCCCCAACTTTTTCGGTTCGCATCATAGAAATAAGAAAAATGCTATAATTATAATATAATATTAAATAAATAAATAAATAAATAAATATCAACTTATAACTAAATTTTTAAATAAATTAAATTAAATATATAATAATATATCATATTGTCACTTATAATACTACGTAATATCATAATTATAATAGTTTCTTTAAAATAAAAACAAAATATAAATATTAAGCCCTCAAACTTATTCTATAAAAATGTGTAAGAACATGAACCATCACACATTTAAGCCCTTAAACTTTGTGTTTGATGCAAATCAACCCCTGACGTAAAGTTTTCAATTGAAGGTTTTGATGGTACCGTTAACACATTTAATAAGGCTTAATTGCAATCTAATCTACAAATTAATCAAGTTTTAAACAAAATCAAATCCTAAATTCCCAAAAAAAAAAAAAAATCCCTAAACTGTATATATTAAAGAAATTATAATTTCTTTTTTCGAGTGCTAGATTGGGTGTGCCATTTTAAGTAGTTTAATACAAAACCGTAAATACCGAAGAAAGGCATGAGGCGATTGCACAGAATTCCTATAATCCCCTTGGCCTTTTTTACAAAACTGAAAACCCGAGCAAATCAGAGAGAGGGAAAAACGAAATAAATGGCGCCAAAACTCCACAAAAAAAGCATGAGAAAACCTTCCGTCTTCCCTTCCCTTCCCTGCCGACTGTCTCTCCCTCTTTTCTCTGCGATTTCATCTTCAGGTAACCATTTTTGCTGCATTTTCTGATTTTAAATGTTTAGTTTAGTTAATCGATAGATTTTTCTTAGATCAATTGTCTGTTGTCCTCCGTTTATATTCCGCCCGTTTTTGAGACTATTGATTCGATTCATGCTTGTTTGGTTGCCTAGAAAGGAGATTATATGAAATCTGAGATCCTTCTTCTCGTTTTAACTTTGATTTAAATCCTGGCTAACCACAGTCTAATGATTGAGAATTTCGCTAGCTAGATCTCAAGTAATTCGGCTTTTTTAGTGTTTATTGCTTGGTAGTTAGCAGCCAAGATGACCGCGAATTTATTGTAAAATTATGAGTTTTCAAACTTTGCAAGTTGAATGATCTTCTAAATGTTTTTCTAGGCTGTTGTTGGAGTTGCATCTTGATGCCTATTGGGATTGCTCTCTCGGTGTTGATTCCCGTAAACAAAAGGAAAACGGTTCTTCTTCTTTGATGCATTAGGTATGTTTATGAACTTTTCAAAGTAGTATTACTATACTGTTCAGTTACCTATTTTTTGGATATTTTTTGGATGAAGAGACGTGATTCTGTGAATTCACACATAAATCGATACATGAACAAAAAGTCTATGTATTTAGAGAATGCAAAAGAGGAGCTTATGTTGGCTATGTTCTGAAGAATGGCTCATTTTGAGCAGGATCATGTACAATATGTTCCCCACTTCCCATGGGATTGTAAATTTAACTTGAAAATTTCTTCCCATGGAACTAACTTGGGGTCAATGTATCTCATGTTAGAGAAAGAATTAATAATGGAGTGTACAATAATATGTTAGTAAGAATGCTTCTTTTCTACGTCAGCAATTATTTGTCTTAGGCCTCGGTTGGTGAATCGTGGTTTTCTTATCTTTTATTTTCATTTCTTGTTTTGGCCTGTTTACTTGCCGGAAAATGCAATCTGGCAATAAGAGGTCGTGGTGCTCGTGTTTTTTGGTCAAATCCTCTAACGCAAACAAATCCTGCAAATAAAGTTCAAAGGGTTAGCAAGTTCGAAATTGCTCAACAATGAAAAGGATATCATGGACAAATGCGGCTTTTACTAGAGACAATACTGTAATGAAGTTAAACTGTAGTTTTCAGCGTATTAATTGTAATGTGCTTAATAAGCAGATGTGGTATTATGTGAAAATTACAGGCAAATGAAAAATATTTCATACCTTTCCAGAAGCAGTACTGAATTCCCTCTGTTGAAAGGCCTAGCACACATAAATTTATTTCGTTAGGTGATCCTCTTAGCTTTATTACTAAATTGTTACAATGATGTTAATCTTCCAAAGCTTGTAAAAGCACTCACCTTTGAATATTGTTGATACAGTGGTTCCAAAGTATACAATCCGTCTGGGCAAGTTCCAGATCCATTCTCTTGGAACATCAATAGGGTTGAGGCTTGATTCATGATCTGCAAAGACCTGTATGAAATTGCAATTTCATATGATAAGCATCTAATTATAAATATAGTGTAGGAGACAGGTAGGCAGAAAGGTAAGGTAAAAAGGAGTATAAGAGTTAGGAACTAGAAGAATTCAGAGAGAGAATCGGAGGAAAATTCTAACAGAAATTGCTCAAACTTGGTGACATGTGAATTCTAGCTTGAATAGCATTACCTCATTAACTTGAAAATATGTCCCATTTAGGGGAAAGCTTCCTCTCATTGCTGTTCTACAAGGTATCTGTAGACATTATTTTGCAAATATTTGTAAAAAACCTATGTCATGGTAGTGTCTTTTCATGCATCCAAAGTTTTACTGTGATTAAAATGTATACTCACCAGAAGTGTTCCCCTGACCATTTGTGCATTAGCTTCTCTTATACTATTGCATGAAAAGCATGTCTTCTCACTGCATAATTTACCTGGTTCTTGAGAACCACATCTTTCTTCAGGTGGTTCGGTTGAATTTGCAGTTTCACCTGGCAATACATGTTTAGCGAAATGAATGTAGCTAGCATGCAATAAAACAAGTTAACCTATTTGGTATCCATTGAAATGCTACATCTGCTTTGTACTTACCAGGCGTCCATATTGCAAGAAGGTAGGGGCTAGGATCATCAGGCTCCCTTTTATCCATCTATAAATTTTTTAGAAGGGATATTTGGATAAGTTCCTTGTGGATGGAGCAATAAAAACATGATGAAATTAAGAAAACTTACCCCTTGCAAGAGTGGATGATTATCAGGAAGTTCATACCTGCATTATACCAGCCATGTGTTAGAGTGCATGATGTAGAACTTCAATCATGGTTAGCTGAGTATTGAAATAGAAATGACATGTTATTGGTATCTAAATACTATGAGCTAGATCTTCTACTAAGAAATGAGTGCTAATTTTGCAATCAGTTCCAAGCACTGTAATGTTGACAGTGGATAATTGAATAAACTATAGGATCAGGTTAGTTTCTGCTAAAGCATCTTAACTGCTGCATTGATTAGTGTTAATATTGCTGGAGAACTAAGAAATGTTATGTATTGTCTTGAGTATATAAACTTCGACCCTTCTACCCTTTTTACACGTCAGTTCTTTCATGATCCAATACTTAGATATGATTATGGGAAATTTCCACTTACACATGGTGCTCTGTTCGTAGCCGACTCACATTCTTCAGTTTGGGCATAGGAATAGAAGCAGCCTCAGTGTTCAAAGCAACTAAAGCCTTAGACATGTCACCTTCTTGGAGTTCCATATTTTCTTCCATGTAATGCTGTAGATTTGCTGCAAACTCTTCAACATTTAATCTTATTGTGGGAATTTCATCGGGATCCTCATAGAATGCATCTTCAATGTCACTTAGAGATACTTCAGTCTGTACCGGTTCTGGGGTTGCTGGTTCTTCAATGATAGGTTCACAGTTACCATGACTAGACCGTGCTCCAAGTGTGTTGTTTTCTGCTGGAGCTGGTAGCATTGGGTTAAATACTTCTGGGGGATTTCTTTCAGCCATGATTGGAACACCTGAACTTGTTATGCTCTTCTCTTCTGGCCCTGGCAACGCAAGCCTTGCACTGCATGAAAAAAACATTCAGTTTTACCAAGTGAACATGTAGCTTGTTCCTTTAGCAATATGATATAGGTGGTTCTGACAAAATTACTCCTATCAGTCTAACACTATGATCTGTTTCTCCATCCTTTACGACAAGTGTTCTACAATTCATGGCTGTGAACTAACTGAAACAACTATTGATTTTTGAGATTTTGAATCTAGGTAGGATCAGCCTCTAAGTTAACTTCCTGCATTATGGTGGCTACATAAAAACTAGCAGAAAGTAGGACAAACTGCAAACCTTGCAAAAGCACTAGCAAAGTGTCTGCACTCTCCTCTCAGTGGACATGCATTGCAATTTGGTTTGCTCTTTGTGCAAAATACCTGCATAAATGTGAAAGCATGGCCCAAAAAACAAAAAAATGTAAAAGAGCTAGCTCATTGATTCTTGTTAATTGCTTTAATACAAATGCAAAATGCAATGACATACCTTCCCGAATGTAATCATTTGGTAATGTAGTTCATACCTGTATTGCAATAGTACACCTATCAGTGTATTTTTAATGCTTGTTAATATCAGTATTTCTGTTTTTATATGTAGGAGAGTGTTCAGTAAATGGACAATTCTAAACAAGAGTTATGATCTTACAGTGTTCGCTGATCAAGCTTACACAATCTTGGCCAGAGATATTTCTGAATTGACTCGAGTACCGGGTACCTAAAAGCAGCTTGATTAGTTTATTCAGGGAGTGGAGTTTTTTTTTTTTTTTTTTTTTTTAAGTTTATTAAGTTAAGTCATAATGCTTACAGTTCTAGGAGGTGTAACTGAAGTGACTCAGGCAGAGGTTGGAGGGGGACCCATCCCAGTCTAACAGCAATTCGTCCAACATTTGTGTCAACCTTCGCAAAATGTACATGCAATGTGTTAATTTTGATGTTTCATTCGTCTTATTAAACTGTCAGTAAGTTTCACATGAACCTTACCGGAAAAGCAACATGGTGAAGGGTTAAAAGGCGGACGCACTCCACACTTTTCAACCCCAATCCTCGTATGCTTAGTAGATAATCTCTGCAGCATAAATGATGTTTTAACTGTTTAAGTATAAACTCAGATAAGAACATTAATTTTGATGCAGAAGTAGTTGTACTATTTAAGAACAGATGATATTTTTAGATGTTTTACTTTGCTTTGTCAGGGGGAACATCTCTTAACCATTCAAGATCAATGCTTCCATGTTCTCTGACCAGTCGGTTCAAGAATTCCTGCAATGTTTTACAACTACTGTTAATCAATCTATTGTAAAGACATCCTAGTATGATACTAGCTTAAAGAAGCTTTTAGCAAACATGAAGCACTTCAGAGGGAAGAGATTGATCCACACCTTAATTCTTTCTGCTAGCATATTGTTCATCCCTCGCTCTTTGATGGCTCTGGAGATCTCATTAACATCAGCTTGTCTCATAGCTTCATAGTCCAATGAATCCATTGTATCTTCCGTCCTTTCCTTTCTGCTACCATTGGCTTGCACTTGCCTTCGTAAACTATCCCAGTCAATTGCGTTGTCTTTCTCATCCTCAATCTTTCTTCTCTTCACTTTTGAGATGTTACTTTTGGTCTTATCATACCTCATGAAAGTAGAATTTGTTAGCTTCCCTGAATTGGAATGAGTCAATTTATTTTGTGTTTCTTTTTGCTCACTCATTGCAGGCATATTGTGCACAATATTTGAAGTTCTCACTGTGAGCTGGGCATGTGCAGTGTATGAAACAGTACTATTCTGGCTGTTAGCAAGTGCATTGAGATTCAGAGGTCCTCGGACTGATGCGCTTTCTTTTTGGAATGATTTGTTCCCAATTCCTCGAATATTGTTGCAGGGCTGGCTGCTTTTAGTATGCGATGCAGGTTGAGAAATTTCTTGTTGGTACATTGCATGCTCACATAATAATCTGCTTATCGGGCCTGTTTCTTGGCATCTTGGAAGTCCATCCTGCTGAACCATGGGTTTACCATCATTTTCTACTGGTTGCTTTGGCTTACTGAACCTAGAAGCAGGTGAAACCCAGGAAGACATGCATTCTTCATCATATAGTCCGAAACCCTCCAAGTCTACTACTTCAGATTCTGAAGTCATGTGGGGCTGGTAATTATTCAAAGGAACATCTGGTACCTGTCTCTGCTGATTTTTGAAATGGTGTGCTTGATTAAATATTGAAAATCCTTTGAGGTTATCCATTTTGTCCAATCTAGAATTCAGCTGGCCATTTTCTAACTGCTTTTGTCCATGCTTTAATCCTTCATGGAACAATGTAGTCTTATTGACACTATTGTAAAATTCCTCAAACAATGTGGTGTTCCCCATCTGATGAAGAGTTGAAACATTATTGTTCTTTCGGTTGCATCCAGTGGTGGGATCTTCTCCTTCTGAGTTGGAACCTGAATATGATCTGATTCCTCCAGTTACTTGGATGACTGAGGAATCATAAGAACCTTGTGATGATAGCACCTCTTCATCCAAGTTCTGGCTGTGGGTGTCTGTTAAACTTGCTCTTTCTATACCTGAGTTCTCACTGTCCTTCCGGTAATCTGCTGATTGACTGGTTACCTCAGAGATTTGGCTGTTGAATGAATGAATGGATGGATTTTCACGCCATTTTATGGTGCTACTTGTATTCAGGTTTGGTTCACAGACTTGACATTCTGTAACCATCGCGATTGCCTCATTCCCATCACCAGTTCTCATGCATTTTGACTTCAGAGGAAACCTTGCTGCTAGAGACATGAAGGCAGAGCTGCATGATTGGAAAGGAGATTATTCAGTTGAATGTAAGAATTTTGAGAATTTTGTCTTGGAATTTTGCTAAAAACAGTTACCTTGAAAGGTGGTCCGATACATTTTGAGTAAGGTAAACTCCTATTACTGAGTCCACCACAGATCCCTTCCATTTAGAGAAGCGCCTGTCTCCTGTGAATATTTTTTTTGCCATTTTTGGTGATCAACGTGCAGGTGATTTTCTATGTCACTGAGTAAAGAATATGCAACAGGTACTAGTTTACATGGAAAATTTCTATTCATGTTGAATACATGTTATTTTTGAGCTATAAAAGAATACATGGATTACCAATGGAGTAACCTTAAGTGAGACATGCCAGGTGATTTTACTTTGAGGTGTCAGCATTTATAGTGTCTACCTTAGTTGAATGGACTTTAATTTTAAATTTATAATACTTGGCAAAAGCTTATCTCTTCTTTGTGCTTTTCATTTTTTTCCCATAAATTGCATTCTTTTTTCACTACCAGAGGACAAAACAGGATACTCAACTTAGAGGGAGAGGAGAGCAGGGGTGGGCGAGGAGGAAAATTCAACAGAGTGTAGGACACGAAGACAACAAACAATTTTGGTCTAACTCTAAAGAGTTTCAGTTATGTTGTGACTTGTGTGGATATTCCTCCCTATATTCTTCTTATCATGAAGGCAATAAACAATTATGTTCAAAGTAGTTTTGCATTTAGTTATTATTATTATTATTTAAAGATGTTTTAGCTAAAATATAGTTCTGGTAGATTTAGAGTCAAAAGATCCTATGCTAGTTTGGGATTTTTTCTCAATTGACAGACAGTAATTCTTCCATATCCTATTACTTATTTCAAATAAATGTCACCTAGAAAATTTTTTAACATTGATCTTTTTGTTGTCCATGTTAAATTATGTCTATTTTTCTTACGATCAATGCCTGTCATGCACCAGTTTCTTTCCTCATTTTCATATGATTTACATGCATATTAAGATCAGAAAGAAAAATGGAAGAATCTGTACTAATCTGAAAGTCTGGACCATACCTTGTATAAGATGCATTCTTGCAATGAATGAATCAGCTCGTCCGCGGAAAACTCTCCTTTCCTCCTCCCACCATTTTTCCTTCTCCTTATCTGTTCCTTCAACATCATTTCCCTCCTTCCCCATCAACAATTTCCACACTTTATTTGTCTCTGGATCAAGGTCCACTTTAGGCCGTGATTTGCGTTTCTTTGTAAATTCAAATGCTTTGTATGGAACAATATTGCCATCTCCTTTGTACGGGACAAGTGCATTTTGTTCTTTATCATTGTTCCTCTCATTCAGACTGAGGTCCTTAATTTTGTTTATCATTTCATCAATGAGAATGAGCTGTCTTGAATACAGCCTTGCATCATTCCCTATGAAAGTTGAGATAATCATGGTGAGTAGAATATTTTGAGATATGATGCTGTGCTTGATAAATCTTTCTTAACATGCTACAGTTGCTAAAGATATTTTTTTAACATGGAAAGTACCTTTTGCTTTTGCAGACGACAACAGATAATCATGCATGCCTTCCTTTTCATGCAGCAACCTTCCTGTTGCAGATGAAGCTCTATAGGATAGAGATGGCTCTGTGTTCTGCTTCTGAAAAATATTTCCATGTCTTATTGGGAAAACATTATTTGCATCAACAACCACCCAGCGCTGAGGTGCAGGGTTCTCTGCAGGATTAGGGGGTGGGAGGTGGTTGTGATTCTCTGCTGCAGCTAAGTTATGGACTTGAATCAACTGATTGGTCTCTGCCATTCTTTCTATGCCTGAATGCAATTCAGATGGAATGTGTTGCCTTAGCGAAGTGTGCCTTGGGGCTGAAGAGTAAACATGCCTATCACCTGTAAGTTGGTTGGCCTCGCCAAATTTTCTCCTTGCCATGTCTTTGCTTTCAAGATGTGGATCAAAAGTTCCACAATTCCTAAGCACTGAAAAATTTTCAGCATTGACATTATATGTGATTCTTGTTTCAGCTTGTCTGGAGCCATCATTAACTGGTGTTGAACAAGACGGCATAGTATGAATGTGCATGTGGGATCCATACTCAGTTTTCTTTCTCTTGTGAGCTTCTAAACAATCTGCTTCCAGAATGCTGCCATTTCTAAAACAACCATCCGTTTGGAATATCTCTTGGCACAGTAATGTGGTCATTGGGCCTAGAGTAGAGGATTTTCTTTGCTCCATGGCATGACAATATTCTTTCTTGGATCGACCTTCATCAGAATAGAACAAATTGTTTGGCACTGGTTGAGGGGTATGCTGACACATTACTTCTCTGGCCCTGTCAATTGTTTCAACTTGACCAATTCCTTTCAGATGGATGTTTTGCTCTATAGAAGAATTCACACTTCTGCTACTTTCTTGGCATGAATCTACAAATCCCATATTTACATTTCTTGCAATGGGATTTAAATTTCCCATTTGTGGGTCTTCTGAGGCAGTAGCTCTGAACGTTCCTAGCATCATTATGTGGTTAGCTGGATTTAGTTTATTCAGGGAAGTGGTGTGGTTATTTATGGTTCTGGGTTGCTCATTGTCTGCTGCTAGTCCATTCTGTTGATAGATCTGTTCAGTGGACTTAGTTCCAGACCCACTAAGTACTGCATCCCAGAATCCTGTGGTTTGACAATCAGAGATGTTACGTCCCTCCTGCATTTCCTGGTGCTTACCTAGTTGACCCTGCCTGCCATTTCCCATCTTCTCTGTTTCAAAATCCAGCACCCTTCTGCATGACTTTGTGGCAGCTCCAGTACCAGCACAAGTCTCTTTTATACTTTCCTCTTCAGTCACTGAATCTTTCAGGCCATTCTTGTGCATATAGTTCCTTTTCCTGGCACCTCCAGCACCAGGATTAGACTGCTTTGCAGAATCTTCTTTTCCAGTTGGTGATTCTGTCAGTCCTTTTCTGCGTACGTACTTCCTCTTTCCAGCACCCCCAGCACATGGATCAGATTCCCTTATAGTGTCCTGTTCAATTGCTGATCCTTTCAGTCCTTTCTTGCGCACATACTTCCTCTTTCCACTTGGGTTCTCCTTGGAGCTAGTGTTTGTAGGAGTTGCCGTTTTTGGGGTCCTTTTGGGTTTCCCTTCCACAACTGCTTTGGGCCTGTATTTTCTTCTTTTAGATGGCTTTTGCTGGGGTGTCTTGTTCAGGTCAATACCTTGGTCACTTCCTCCATCTGAGTCCTTTTTCTCCTTTGTTGGTGTGGAAATGACAGCAGATGAATCAACAATGTTCTGTAAGAGTTCATCACAAGTAACTTCATTTACTGTGGATGTCATTAAATCTTTCTGCCTTTCCTTTTCATGACTTGAGCTTTCATTAGTCGAAGTCAACAATGCAGATAGCAGGTTGTTCTCTAACTTTTGAGGCAAATCTGGTGTGAAGGGGAATGAGGTGGTCAAACCGGAGATGGCACCAGCTTCTGCTCTCACTGGTGAGTTTATGTTGTATATGGGCTTGGAAGGTAAGGGAAATCCATCTGTAAAACATGTTTGCCCGTAATAAGCACAACAGTCATCTTATATAATTGGCATTTAAGTAAATTTGTTTAACATGGAATTGCAAATTTGCAATGAAATCTATGCCCCTGCAGAAGTCGTACTGACTATTGGGCAGAATAAACCAATTTGTAAATTAAAATAGTTTCATGCTTCTTCTGTTTTCAGCATACAAGCGCATGCTAGGTTGGGGTACAAGGTTATTTTAATTTTTATGAGACAGTGAGTGAATATTTTGTTCCTACATTGCAACCAGTCAGAAAATGTTTTCGGAATCTAAGTTGAATTCAATTCATCTGCTAATCCCGGTACCTTTCAATTAGAATGTTACTAGGGTAGGGAAACAGAAAGAAACACCTAAAATGCTGAAATTTGTGAACCTAAGGATGTTAGAAAATTGCTTGTTTTAACACGAAATGAAAAATGATATGCAGCTGTAAAATCCCAATTCCATGTGAACAAAATCCTAGTTCTAGTTTCAGCTACATGCTAAAAATAAACAATATATGCAAGATATCTCTTATCATAAATTCAACATCAATTACATGTTACATAGGTTTATATGATTTTGCGTTGCATTTTCTATCTTTATAATTTAACTGTTGTAAAATGTGTATAATTTCAAACAAAATCTCAAATGCATAAGCTTCTACAAGACGGGCTTAGTCACTTACCCATAGGCATCTGGTGGAAGCTGTTATTGTTCCTCAAAAGATGAAAACTTGTGTGGTGAGTTTGGTCATGGCGCACCATATTGTTGTTACCAGAGTGATTTTGGTTCCCAAGCGCCAGATTTCCAGTGTTGGACAGTCTCCAGTTGTCGGCTTGAGAATGCAAATTCGGAGTCAAGGGACCATCTGCCATAGCGTTTCTGGTTGCCGAGGCAAAAGCAGCTGCATTTCTTGTGGCCGCAACATTTGTCAATGGATTACTGTTCCGTCCTGCACCCATATTGTAAAGGGTATGTGTGTAAGATTCCGCAATGTTGTTGATCATCCTGTTCCTCTCAACCACATTGGAACTGCTAGCATAGTGTCCCCCAGTCTGACCCTCCGTTCCAATTGGATTGAAGTTTGGTAGAACCCCATTGCAATTCAGTAAATCCTGAAAATATCCCTTCGGAAATTCCGCCAGTTCAGGCCAATCTGCTCCAGTGAGTTGGCTGCCATGGTGGACATCAGGCACCGGGATCTGACCTGATCTTCTTGGGATGTTCTTCTCCGGTGTGATTGGCACCAAAGAACCCATAAACTGCAATTCTTTGTCTTCTGGAATTGCAAATTCCTCCCCAAAGTTTATCCTGGAATCCATGCAATCTGCTCTCTTCCTAGTATCCGAATTCTGCTTCGAATTGCCAAATTCAGGTATTTTCCATTACTTAAACCTATTTTCCAGAATCCCAAAATGCATTTTTCACGCGCCTAAAATGCCCATTAACACGAAGACCCAAATAAGGGAAGAAAAATAGAAATCTTCTCTCAGCTAGAAAAATGTGAAGAACAAGCACCTCCCTTTTTAATGCTGGCAAATCAAGTTATTTCCCAGATATTTCTCAACAACAGAGGACCACCTAATTTATTTTTTCTGTTCTAAAAAAAATGAAAACCAGAATACAGAAGCAAAAGGATAGCTGAATCTGATTGAAAAAAAAAATCTGTTTTAAATGGTGCAGGGCCAAAAGATATTGCGAAATCTCTCAAGATTCTTCCTTTGATATGAAATGAAACGCACGGCAACTGAATGCTTAGCCAAATGTGCATGAATCAAGAAAAGAAAAGGTAAATAAATGTTTGGAGAAAAAAAATTACTCATGGGCATCTCAGCTCTGCGATCTGATACGGAGTCATCTCAGCCTCCCCAGAAGAGTCAATGCCTGAAAATACTAGTCAGTTTCCATGGAAGAGGAGAGAGAACATGGGGGAGAAAGGAAAAGAATCCTAACAGAGTGATTTATATATAAAATTAATTACTAGTTTGGGCACCTCCTGTTTGTTACTGCCACACCCCTGGATATAGCTTCACTCTTTTACTCTGTTTAGGTTCTTAGGGATAACCTAAACCTTCTTCATTGCCAAACTTTAGTACCTTTGCCTATACCTGCCTTGAAGAGGAGGGAAGAATTTTATGAAGTACTAATTTCATACTATCAAGAATGCCCCCTTGCCAATTTATTTCCATGGAAAAGAATTTTCATTTTCATTATTATTCAATAGAAATACCAAGGGAAATTATAGTAAAATGTGTGTATTATATATATAGTTTCAATTAGATGACTAAACAAGTGATTTTTTGCTTGTTGGTTTATAAATTAAGACAATTATTTTAATTTAATATAAGTGTCTATAGCCAATGTTTTATCAAAACTATGCATGTAAGACATATTTTGTTGTTAGATTGTATATAAAATACATATATTAGTTTTATAGTTTTTTCGAAATTTCTTATGAAACATATATGAAAATGATTGTTTTTTCATGTGAAAAGTAAAATTGACAGATTTTTAGTATTGGGAGAGAGGGTAATTATCAGATTTAAGGTTATGCTTGTTATTTAAATAAAAAAAGAGTGCCCTTTGGAAATTTTGGACCTCTTTAATAATTTAACATATATACAATAAAATTCCCATATCCCTTTTCCCTTGTCCCCGGATTAAAACTTATTTAAGAGATAATCTCCTTTATTTAAGTAAATATGAACCCAAAACGGTAGACAGTAAATCCTGCGATTTTGCTGCATCTTTGACTAATTAATTCAGTTTAGTGAAATTTAATTACAGGGTCAAAGGGGATAATAAAAATACTAAATAAGGGCTAATACAGTAATTTCAACTGCCCTGGCATAAGAAATTAGTGCGTGGAACGCGTGGTTTTGGTGTAGGGCAGCCTCCGCATGACCTAAGGTCCTAAACACGTGCTTCATCCAAGAACGCAGACTTAGTTGGTACGTTGGCATGAGAGTTTGTGCGGCGAATAACAAAGAGATGCCCACAAAAAAAAAAAAAAAAATCAGAAAATTTTTCAAAAGTAAAATGGAGAGGGTGCATGCATCAGAGATAAAGAATGTGCTCATATAAAGTTGCATGATTTACGTACAAGTATTTTTCTTAGGATTCCACGTAAATATTGATGGGTCTCATTTAATAAATTATATATTATTATATTAAATCTTAAAAGCTGTCGTAGTCTCTTTTCTAAATAATTTTACAAATTTTAGTTTTTATCTCTATAATTTTTAGCTTGTTCAATTAACTCCTCTTTGTATATAAAACTCCTGTATATTAATTCAAAATAAGTTTTTACTTGTTAAATCGTTTTTTATTTCTGGGAAAAACAAATACTTGTGAAACTTTTTAGTCCTAAATTGACTAATGATAAACCTAAAATTCTAATTAAGTTTTCATCGTAATGCTTTCGTCCAGTTACTTTTCTTTTGATATGTCATTACTTGTCTATTATTTATGACGTACAAACTTTTGATATTAATTTTAAATTAAAAAATTTTAATTAACATATACAAATTTGACTAAATTTTTATTAATTTTTTAATCTACTTAACATTATCTCATAACTTATAACATCACATCTAGTGCGACTACAACTTTAATTTTACTTTTTAAATTTTTTAATCTATCAGATTTTTCTAAAATAAGAAATGTATTTATTTTACTTTTCTTAAAAAAAATATATATTTAACATTATTTTTCTTAAAAAGTTAGGGTGTGACTCACGCTTCCCTTACCAATCACACTTATGCCAGTTTGCCTAGGTCTGTTCATCCCTAATTCTTTACCAATTTAAGATTCCTATGAATCAATAAAAAATGTTCGTGGGTTCCAAGGTGGTTGTATATAGTTTTCTAAATTCATTTGTAATTGGAGTAACAATTTAAAATTACTGACCGGCATATATTATATCATAGTATAGTATACTACTATATTTCTATTAATTTTTATTATAATAAGTAGTTCTTTTTTTTTATTTTTGTAAAAATTATAATAGGTAGCTACTCTCATGCTTCAAGCACAAGATTCTGTTTTACTTTGTAAATTGAATAATAAAAAGTAATCATATTTTATTTTATATTTATCTCATCGTATAATATGAGATTCAAACAAAATCTTTAACTTAATTAGATCAATAAATTTATAAGATTAAACCGTTTCATATCACATTGGCATGGTATGGCCACTGTCCTCTTATCAAATCAAAATATTTTAAAATTAAATCAAGTACCTAGCTATCAGTTCTTTAATTTGCACTTTGCAATTATAATTATTTTCAAAAACTACATTAATCATTCAACCCAAATCATGCATGATCCATGTCATGTACGGTACATGTGGACAATAATCCATTTTTTCTTATGATATATCCATAATTGTTTTAAACTCAATGGTTAAATTTTAATTTAATAAAAGAGTTATAAGTGTTGAAACACGCATTGAGATCACATTAATTGGAGTTAAAATATACATATAATAATCAAGCAGATAACACATTAGGAAGAAAATGTATATCAAGAGAGTAAATTTTGTATCTCTTTCTCCTTTAATTTACATATACATATATAGAAAATTATCAAATATTTTTTTATGAGTTTTTTAATTTATAGTTATGGGAGATTGTTGTTATATTTAATATAATACAGTTCAGACTGCATAATACATTATAGTATAATCAATAATTTGGTTATAAATTATTGAAATTGTTAGATTAATTAAATGGGTTTTACTTCCAACAAAGAAATTTTCTAAAAGGAACATTGTAAAATGAAAAGAAGATAGATGAGGGGCTATGATGGTATGGACCATGGAATGAGAGACACAGGCAGGTAGGTTTAACGAATAGTAGTTGTGATGTGAGGGCATTGACACTCCATTTGTCACTAATTCCAAAGCCATTTTCTTTCTCCTTCTTTAGGCAGAATCATCTGCAGTATAGAATTAGATTGGTCCCCTCTCCTGTCTCAAAGTCAAATTTCTCTTTCTCAGCCACCTAACAATATTTATTTAT